TTGCCGCATAGGGCTCACATCGGCATCCTTTCCAAAGTAGTCCCTCTCGTAGTCCCTTGAGATGGGTCGGCCTCCCCTGCTCGATGGTCGCTCGCGTTCGGGTGACCGCTCTGGCGACCGGGTATCGAGGAAGGGCCGCTCAGGTGAGCGGTTGTCAAGGTAGCTTCGTAGGTCACGAACGCTGCCCGGCTGTAATGACTGCATGCGCTTGTGCTGTGTGCCTTTTATCAGAGAGCGCTCGGACGAGGGCAGCTTCTGTGGCATGGGGTTAGTAGTGTATGAGCTCGCAGGTAAACTCTCTCGCGCCTTCTCTTCCAGCGCCTTGGCCGCCTTCATGATGGCTGCAGATGTGTTGGGGCGGGTGGTGAGAGTGGGCGAGCCAGGATTGAGAGGCAGTGGCGGCGGTGCACGATCCGGGTCAGCACTATCCCACCTGAAGCGCAGTGTTAGTATATCGCGAAAGGCTACATGGCGGTGAGGAAGACGAACATGGGAATCATCCTGTCCGACGAGAACGAATGTGAGTGTCTGACGAGTTCCCGGTCGCGGGAGACCTCTCTGTCTGAAGAAGGCATTGTGATGTGTCGTCTGGTGTGTATTCAACCAAATATAGTGGTGGTGAGGCGGAGAGTGGGAGCGAGTATGATATGGAGCGCGTGAGTTTCAATTGGGGTATACAGCGGAGGGATTGATCGTGAAAAGCTATCAGCGATCCAGCGCAGGGTATATAATAGTTCGTGATATCGTGGAGGGTGGGAGTGTGGGAAAGTGGATTGCAGGTGCAGGGCGGGCGGTGTGTTGATCAATAGCTTGGGGTTTGTTTACATGCACTGGCCAATAGGCGATGACGATGGAGGCGCGACTGCCAACTCAGCCGTCGCTGGGGCAGCAACGGCGGCAATGGATGTCCCCGGCTGCGATGGTGCGCCAATTGCATGCATAGAGCGGGATAGATTGTGCAAGCCAATATTGGGGCGAACGTATTCAGGAAATGTCGCGGTCCCTTGCTGTAGCGTGTTGTTGACCGAACTGCGGTTGCCATGTGCCCTGCACCGCTGTGGCGCTGGAGTGTGGCGTCGCCCCAATCGGAATTACGTACCGCCTAACCACCGACCGCCGCATCTCCAGGTGAGCTTGTGAGCTCAACACCGCCAAACAGTTCATCTCCGCCACCCCATCGCCCGCTCCACCTCACGACTCGTGCACTTCAATCACCTTAAGTCACCGCGTATACCCTCACAACCTGCCCACCCACCATGGCTGTCCCGGAAACGAGCTCGCGGATAGCGGAGGCGCAGAAGCTGGCCAAGTCGGATCCCTCCAAGGCCGAGCAGATCTTCAAAGACGTCCTATCGCAAGACCCCGGCTCGAACGAGACGGCCATCAAGAACTATGAGAGCGCTCTGATCGGGCTCGGTGAGCTGTACCGCGACCAGAAGCGGGTGGACGCGCTGGCAGAGCTCGTGAAGCAGGCGCGGTCGATAATGTCGTCCTTTGCGAAGGCGAAGACATCCAAGCTGGGTAAGAAAGCGAATTCGGACTCTAGTTCAATCGCACATGGCTAATTCTCGCAGTCCGACAACTACTCGATCTATTCACCGCCATCCCCAACACCGCCGATATCCAGATCGATGTCACCAGGTCGTGCATAGAGTGGGCCGTCTCAGAGCGGAGAGGTTTCCTGCGACAGAACCTAGAAACCCGACTCGTCTCTCTGTACATGCAGAAGCAATCCTACTACGAAGCCCTCACACTCATCAACAGCCTGCTGAAGGAGTTGAAGCGCCTGGACGACAAGCTGGTCTTGGTGGAGGTTCAGCTGCTCGAATCAAGGGTCTACCACGCGCTGGGCAACATACCAAAGGGTCGCGCTGCCCTCACGTCCGCACGAACATCGGCTGCTTCGGTCTACACTCCGCCTCTGCTACAGGCTGGTCTCGATATGCAGAGTGGCATGCTGCACGCAGAGGACGGCGACTTTAACACCTCCTTCTCCTACTTCATCGAAGCCATGGAGGGGTACCACTCACAGGATGAAGAGCAGAAGGCTACTTCGGCACTCCAGTACATGTTGCTCTGCAAGATCATGCTCAACCTCGGAGACGACGTCACCTCGCTCATGGCCTCCAAGCACGCTGTCAAGTACGCAGGCAAGCGGTTAGAAGCCATGAAGGCCGTAGCGCGCGCACATACCAACCGCAGTCTCGAAGAGTACGAAACCGCCTTAACCGACTTCCGCCAGCAGCTAGGCAGCGATCGATTCATCACCTCCCACCTCCGACGCCTGTACGACAACATGCTCGAGCAGAACCTGATCAAGGTCATCGAGCCTTTCAGCAGGGTAGAGATTGACCACGTCGCCAAGATGGTCGGTCTCGACACAATACAGGTAGAGCGCAAGCTCTCGCAGATGATTCTCGACAAGGTCATCATCGGAGTTCTGGACCAGGGTGCCGGATGTCTGATCGTATACGACGAATCGGAGCGAGACCAGGGCTACGACGCGGCGTTGAGTACTCTTGAGAAGCTGAGCAACGTGGTTGATGTACTTTACACCAACCAGGCTTCTCTGTTGGAGTAAGACGTGGAAGGGGGAACTTTGACAGCTCCCGAAGCTATGTACAATAAAAGCATAGATGTTAGGTATGCTACACGTCCAATGCGACTAGCTAATAACGATGACACATGACATGGCAAATCTCCTAGGGCAATTGTGCGCGCTGAAGTGGTGTTAACCTCGGTTTGCCCAAGTACAGCAGCATAACAACGCGCAGCATTCGTGTTGTCAACCGGCTATACATCGGCAAACTACCATGTCACCCTTGCTTCTTTTTCTCGAATAAATTGTCGTGTACTATCCGGCATAGCAAGGGCAGCCTTACCGAGCCGACACTATACACATCCCCGTCTCATTCGCCCATCCTTGGCGATCTACACCCACCTCCCATAGCAGCTCCACACAAGAACCACATAGCATCCCCAGATAAATTGGCACGCACGACAACGAACGGGGATTTGATTTGGAATCACGGAGATAGGGGGGTGCAGGACGAAAATATGCAGAAATGAATGATAGCAATGGGATTTCGATAGGTATAAAGTACCATGGCCCATCGCACGAACCTTGAACATCCAAGCAGGTCAATTCCATCGTCAAATCTCCTTACTTCGTCCCTACACCCATCTTCATCATGTACTTCACCGCCGCCGCCGCAACCATCCTCCTCTCCCTCCTCCCCACGGCCCTCTCCCACGGCCTCATCACCTCCCCACCCTCGCGTCCCACCGGCCCAGAACTAACCTCCCACTGCGGCCCCGCCATAACCCGCACCATAAACGGCGACAACACCTCGCACGTCGAAGGCCTCCCCGAGCTCCTCCTTCCCCCCTACACCGCCTCAAGCTGCAACCTCTGGCTCTGCAAAGGCCTCCAATTCGCCGACAACCCGTCCAACAACACGCAGGTATGGAGCGCGGGCCAGGTCGTGCCCATGAAAGTGTGGATCTGCATTCCGCACGAGGGCTCCGCGAACGTGAGTATTGTGGATACGAAGAAGAATGAGGTTGTGGGCGAGATGCTGAAGGTGTGGGAGGAGGGGTATGCGCCGGGGAAGAGTGAGGCGGATGTGCCGGCCGGGCAGAAGGAGTTTAGTGTTAAGGTGCCGGAGGGATTGGAGGAGAGGTGTGCGACGGCGGGTGATTGTGTAAGTTTCCATGGGTGAGGTGATCTGCGCGAGATGCTAACGCGGTGTAGGTGCTGCAGTGGTGGTGGTATGGTGTGGCGGCTAAGCAGACATACGAGTCTTGTGTCGACTTCAGGATCGCGAAGACGAGTGCTAAGAGGGACTCTTTCGGTCGTGCATTCAGGGGATGAGGTTTAACGCCTGTGGACAGCGGTTTGTAGTCCAGGTTACGTGAGGGATTGGATGTTTAGATTTAGATAGTCATGATTTGCTCAACTGCATAGTCAACCTATCCATAATTGACTACATGCCATTCCTTTAATCCTGAGCCCTTCTCTTTCTCGCTTGCATATTAACAACCGCAATACCCAACAACGTACCGCAGAAGAAACACATCATGATTGTCGCTGCGACCATGGTACAACAGTAACGTTCACTTTCTCGCCTGCGTTTTGCTTCTGTCTGCACCTGGTTGTCGCAGACCTCGCAATGCGTGTGTGGCTCCGAACTCGGTCGAAGAAAATTAGTGATGGTCTGAGCCAACGTCTCAGGGTTTGATGTTGATGAAGATGCGTTGCCGGAAGAGAAAGTGTGGTTATGGGGTTCAGCGTGGAGTTCTATATCGTGGTCGTCGGTTTGGGGAACGGTCGTGTACTGTGAATCGATCGATGGGTTAGCAAGATTGGAGGCTTCTGAGACAATGTGGTAGGAGGGCTTACGCCTGATGCTGGTCCAGAGGGCGCGTATCGGTTCACGGGATGGTCTTGCAATGCCTCTTCGTAGGCGGGTGCTGCTTCTTGTGGAGTGGTGGGGATGCCCATTTTCTTTCTCGATTCAATAACGGTATCTATGTTGTGGGAAGTAGATATGCCCTGAGAAAGTAAGGAATATGGAATAAGTAGTTAATTGTAAGATCAAATGTGCGACAGCATCATTGTTATGTTCATCAGCCAGCTGCTGCCGCTTTGTCGGCCATCCACAATCTGGCAACTGGATGTTGGATGCCTGATGGAATGATAGGATGCTATGAGGGGCTGTAGTGGCTGTGCTGTCAGCCGACCAATGGGATCGGTGCATGTCCATAAATTTGCGGGGCTGTGTCAGCTTGCAAGCCACCGTTAAGGTTTGATCGAAGATAAGCAGCGTAACATTGTTGCTTGAATTTGATTATGACCAATAACGGCGCCGTAACACCCATGCACTGAACTGCGCCTTTTGCTTGGCCACAAATTTGACTCTTTTTGGAAATGTCCACGCAGATCATGAGATGATTGAAACTGGGGTTTAATAGATGTCAAAACAATTTGATGAGTCTCCTTACTGCGCAACCTTGATAACGATCTTGCCCGAAAACTTGCCCGAAAGCAGCAGATCAAATGCCTTCTTTGCGTCCTCAAACCCAAACGTCTTATCAAGCATCACATCGAACTTGACGTTCTTCTCCTCAATGAACGCATTCATGTCCTGGAAATCCTTCCTCGATCCTACTTCGAGGCCCTTCAACTTGGCACCCTTACCCATCAAAGCCATGAGTTGCGCTGGCTTCCAGTCTGCCTCCCAGCCAGCGAGAAATCCGACTAGCGAGACGGTGCCGCCACGAGCGCATAGGTAGGAGATGTCGTCGATGAGAGAGCCGACGCCAGTGTTGTTAACGACGAAATCGACGCCGCGGCCGTTGGTAAGTTCCTTGATCTTGGAAGCTTGGTCGTCGGTCTTGTAGTTGATACCGCGGACTTTGTCGCTGATCCGATCTTGAATGGCCTTGATCTTGTCGTTTGAGGACGAAGTTATAATTGGTGTGATGCCGCCAGCGAGACAAAGTAGTAAGGAGAACATGGAAACGCCGCCGGTGCCTGGAGGGTATGAGTAAGAGATTGGAAGATTAGGGCTCTTGTCTCACCTTGTAGTAGAGCACTAGAGTTTTCCTGCACTGTCTTCAACGAGTCCAGGGCATTCCAAGCAGTTACACCTGCACAAGGCAGCATTGCGCCCTATTCGCCTTTAGTCCAACGCATTCACAAATACTCTCTGGATATCTTACCTCCTCCCACGACAAGTGCTTGGGCAAGTGCACCAAGTGCTTCTCCTTATAGACAGCATATTCCCTGAGTACACCGGGAGCACTTGCACCGATAGCCACAGAACTGCTGTCATCCGTGGGATAAAAGTCGCCTTGGTTGCAGATCGGAGCAACAATGTCTCCCACTTTGAAGTTCTTGACTGCAGATCCCAACCCAACGACCTCGGCGGAGGCATCCGAGCATGGAATGCCTTGCTCAGTGTTAGGCACAGGGTATTCTGCCATCAGCATAGCAACGTCGCGGTAGTTGAGCGATACAGCGTGAATCTTGATAACCACATCGTTGGGACCGAGTTCCTCCTCCTTAGGTAGAGTTTCTTGGGTTCGCTCAAGAGTGAGAGGGTTTTGACGAGAGGCCTTCTCTTGACCTGCGCTGCGACGGTAGGCCGTGTAGGTAGATGGGTAGGTCATGGCGGGAGTTGGATTGGGGAAAATGTGCTTTGGACGATTGCGCGAATGGACCTGATGGATTGAATGTCGGTGTCGCACGGCTTCGCAGTTAATAAATAAGAAAAGTTGCGCCTCTTCCTACAAGCAATGTAAAGTTGCTGATCAATCATGATGGGCTGCTCGATTCGTCCGATGGAGTTCAGGTGTTCGTCATTTCTGCAGGTTGTCGCTAGATGCGATCCAAATTGGAACCTTGGAACGTCGCGACGCGGAAGGGACGCTACGCTCAAGCGCGAACGCGTTCCAGATGTCGACCATCAAGCCTGCGAACTCGTCCTCCTAAATCCGCAAAGACTGTATCGGGCCTTTTGGTACACAATGCGACATCCACGAGCTGCAACAGCATCATGTTGTGGCCATGCAGGTCTAGCTTTGGTTCCAGGCGGGGCCAGCGGAGTGGAACTTCACTCCGCTTCCGATATTTTTAGTCAGCCTCAACAACCCTCCACTCACGAAGACCTATCCATGCGCCCTATGTTTGACATCGCATACCATCAACGATCTTATTTTGCGGCAAGATTAACGGCTGCGTAGATCTAAGACCCATCGCGTCTCTTTGTCGAAGCTGCGTCGATCCTCGCCCTCCAGGCTACTTAGCCCGACTTCTCGCAAGTCTCCGAGTATCTCGACAGCCTTACTGAAACTCTCATTCGACGCATAGCCCTCATCAGTCAAAATACCTTGTAGCTCTTTCCAGAGTTCCTGGCTCTTGTTGAAAGTCCCCGCCTCTTCGTCGTGTTGCCGTAACTCCTCTGCTGAGAAATGGTACGGACACGGTTCGTTCGTACCAAAGTGACTCCACTCCCTGCGACAATGGTCAGCCAGGAAACTTGATGGCAAACAGATCGACATACCTCTCAACGCGGATCAAACATTCTTCAAAGGGGAAGAGACAGTTGTCCCAGGTAGAGCCAACAAAAGCTTCTAATTGCTTGAGGGTCTGGCCATGAGGATGATGCATAACCTTGTACATCAGAGGATTCTTCCCCACCGTAGTCTCTTCATACGTGTGGATTAAAATAGACTGAGACACTTGGTATTTGAGCTTATATTTTGTAGCATCGTCGAGTGCTTTGAAGTTTTCAGGGAGCTTCATCAACATGTCAATCCCATAGTCTAGAAGCAATGGGGGATTGGCACCGATGAACACCGGGGTAACCCAGGCTCCCTGCCAGTCAATGATGCATGATATTCGGTCTTGGGCGTCGATATAGACGTTACCAGGATGGAAGTCTGGGTGCCAAAGTCTGGGAGAGACGAGCTCTGGGTCCTTGGGAGTGATATATGTGATTGCGGCTAAGAATTTCTCCAATAGGACTGTGTGAGCCTCTGGAGACTTCTGCTGTGGACTCGTGTACTGCCATGGAGTTTTATTCGGCTCCTGTGCGTTCGCATGGGTATTGATCCATTCGATCTCACGGCAAGCGACAGACTTTAGGTATTCTGCAGAAGATGTCCCTACACTTATCGTAAGTCTAGATTCGAGTTTCACAGACATCCAGAAACTTACAGGGACCATGAGATTGCATTTCACTGCGTTGCTTCTCCCAGAACTCCCTTCGAGTGATGGGCCCAATGCATTAAGTTGATTCGATGTGACCAACGACATCTTGTGGACCACTTGTAACGATAGCCGGCTCGCATCCTGCGATACCACTATCCTTAAAATACAATGATCCCAATCTGGCAGTGTGTGTAAGTTGGGCTGGCCGCAAACTCTCTGTTGGAGCAAGTTGAATCTTACTTTTCAAAGGAGACCGAGAGTAGTTTCCTTTCAACGTCCACAAACTCACGAACAATGTCACACTTCCTCCGCAGTGAAAGATCCTGCCAAACCTCGTGGAGTTGGGAGCCACTCGCTTCTTCCATGATGATATATTCTGCTTGGACAGAGTTTTGGTCGGTAGCACTCCAAGCGAGAACTCGTGGGACAGGTAAGTTCAAAACAGTCCGGGCAAACTCCATAGTTGCCACTTCCGATGCAGTGGTATGGACTCGTGGGCCAGCATTGGGGTGTGGGACTTTTGCGATGATCTTCTGGCCGTCTTCCATCTCAAGGCGATATGCCTTGTTGTAGTTGCCTTCGCCGATCTTCTTGAAAGATATACATTCGTTTGCACCGACAGCTTGGCAAGCCGCTTGTTGGAGACTCGACACATCAAAGCGTCGGTATCGGGCTTCCAGTTGCTCGCGCTCATTCCATAACCATCGCCCGCTCGTGTAGCAAAACAAAGGATTCGTGTCAGATTGAGGATGTGAGGGCATTGCGCGGCTACCGTCCAAAGTGTGTAGTAAGCGAGGGTAGTGTCGCTTTGCGATAATTGACCAGCTTCGACCAAGCGCCATTGCTAAAAACTTGCAAAAAGGCCGTGATATGAATAGTGAGACGAAGTTGATGTTGAGACCATGAGACGCGCCGCCAAGCCTGCAGCCTTTGTGGGCTTCTCAAGTAAGATACTACTGGCGCTGAGCCTACTTTTTCCGCGAGCGTTGTTCGTCGCGATGGACGAGCGTGGAGACGGGGACATTGCTGTGTGCGGATCAAGCGGCGTATGTACTAGGCGCGTGATTATCAGGCCCGCATGCAAATAGAGCTTGCATCAGCGCTCGGCTGGCTGGTTCCATATTGACGGGTGTGGTGGGAGGGTGAGCTCGGGCAAGAAGCCAGCAACCGCGACGCATGTTCGGACAAGCTTCGGGACGCATGCGCCACGGCTTGAGCTATCTCGGCGTATTGACAGAATATCCGGGAACCTACACTAACGTTAGGTCTCCTACCTTGCATGTTTCAGTTTCATGTAGTCGCTAAGATTTTGTCCAGGCATGCGGAGGCTTGCCTGCCTCTGCAGATAAATGCGAAAGATGTGTTAGTAGAGGCTGCACGTCTCCAAAACTCACGAACATCGTTCTAGACTGATTATCTACAATCTCATACCTCTGAAATAATGATCGTCGTAGTTGTCGACGGAAGAGTAGGGGTGCGTCTTCGCTATTGCTTCTAACGCCACAGACGGAATTCCAGAAGACACAGTCGAAGTTGTTATCATTTGAGTTTTACTAAAGTACCTAGGTACTCCACAGTGTAGCACGATGAAAGAATAGAGTGCGCCTTTGACTCAGACTGCGGTCTGGTCCTACAACCTAAGTTTTAGCAGACATCACTTTCGCAGGAAAGATTCGAAGATATGCAAAGATCATGATGTTCTCATTCCCATCGATCTAAATAAGTACTGTCGGTACTCGTGTTACTTACTTCAAAGTACGCCGCCGCCGTCGTGACTTTTAAAACTAAATGTTAGTATGAATCATGAAAATACAAAACCTCGACCGCAACTCCGCGCTAGTATTACAACCATCAAAGGAATCAAATCGCCAACTCGTCAGATCATCTCATCATAAACACCATACTCGGCCACGACAGGCTTACGAACTGCCCCACCGGCCACCGCCCCCATCCCCAACACACAACTCTCCTCACCCAGTATCTCCGACAACTCAACATCGCCCTCTGCCAAACCCTGAACCGCCCGAACCAAGTCCTTCTCGACAAAGTTTTGGAAACGGTCGCGAGCAGTGTCTACACCAGGACGGTGGAAGAAGAACTTGACCGCGGTGCCAAAGGCAAACCACTGATCAACCATGAAAAGCATGGCCTCTTCTAGTTCACTATTCTCGTAGATGTCCTGGAGGCATGGGCGGAGGAGCGAGCGAACACAGAGATGGATTTCCTGGAGTGGGTTCTGGCCTTGGTTTTGGAAGTTGAGGAGGATGTCATGGAGGGGTGAGGGTGGTAGATTCTCGAGAGAGAGGTAGACACGAACTACGTGAATGTCGCCGTCTAGAATGGTGGCGGGGTCTTGGATCTTCTTGGTCGTCTGCTTGCCTGTCGCGTCGGTGGCGACAAAGGCGAAGACGAGGCCGGTGGGCGGGGATACGGCGGGCAGCTTTTGGACTGCGGGAGCGGTGGCGGTGGGACTGGGGAGCTTTGCGCCTAGCGATAGAGAACTTGAATCGAATACAGGTGATGTCGGGGATTTGTTTGAAGAGGCAGGCGCAGGTGGACCCATACCGCCCTGCAGTGTAGGGCCGAAGCCCCAAGTTGGGGAAGTGTTTGTGTTAGTAGTAGTGGAAGAGCCAAAGCCGAAGCGTGGCGGAGTAAGAAAAGAAGGCATTCTGTTGGTTAGTAGAGTCGATTGTCCTGTAGTTGAGGGAGTTGCAAGTGTTGCGATTGCTGTTGTTGGAACTGTTTGTCGCTGGGTGTGGGGGACCACGTACTTTTATACCTGCAGGGCGGGGACGCGCACAGACAATGTGCGTTTGCGAAAAGTGGTGAAAAGGCGAGAGTGAGTGAGTCAAGAGGGCGAGATCGGCGTTGTGAGAAGGTCCATGGTAGCGATGATCGCGACCAAAGTGTCGCCGCAAGTGAGCGAATCATCAGTGTTAACTTGGGAAGATGGATTAGGCTGCACACTCAACTGAGGGTCAGTGGTGGTATGAGCAATGATAGTAGAAGACATCTGTACTTGATCCGTATGAAAAGAGAGTATGTACAGAAAGAATGGTAGTAAAATGAGTGTAAGTCCCATCGCCAATCCCAGGGCATTCCAAGCACCCATGTGCTCTTCCAAAGTCCCAAATCCCACATTCCACCTATCCCATCGAAACCAATCAACAAGCGGCGATATCCGCAGGCGTATAAATGCAAGCCGAGCTAGGTCCCTCGCTGATCTGCTTAGGTTCAGCACCCGTATCGTTACCCTCGAACTCCTCGCAAATAGCCTTTGTGCCTGTGACGCAGGAGTTGGTAATGGTAGCAGTATCGCCGTAGTTGGAGTTAATACCAACGAAAGTCGCTGTTCCGCCTGTAGCCTTGACCTTGTCGATCTTGACGTGGCGCTCACCCATGGTCTTGCAGTTTCCACATGATCGGTAGAGCTTGCCAAAGGTTGAGACTGTGAAGCCTGAGATTGAAATGGTACCCGCGCCGTTGTGTTGGATGACTTTGTCAGATGCGCCCATCGCTCCGCCACCGGTGACTGTGCCGTCGCCGTCCTTCTTGAAGGTGAGAGCGTCTTCACATACATCTTCCCACCAGACATTCTCGATGGTGCAAGCTCCTTGGCAGTGTACTCCCTCGATCTGGTCGGCTCCGATGATGACGTTGCGGAGAGTGCCGCCGTTGGCAATAGAGAATACAGCATCGCTGTCTCCTCCTTCTGATTGACCGGTGCAAGACACTCCACGGCCGAAACGCTTCATGCCGCCATCGAATTCGCCGGTTACCATCATTGTCTTGGAGAGAGTAGACTCGCCAGCTGCTGCGGGCATGGTACCGCTTGCTGCACTACCGCCTGAGCTAGGCATAGTGGAGTTGCCTGATCCAGAGCCCGATCCAGTTTGAGTTCCCGAACCGGAGGAAGATCCACCACCTGAAGAAGAGCCACTGCCTGAGGATGAACCACCACCTGAAGACGAGCCACTTCCTGAGGATGAGTCGCTGCCCGAAGACGAGTCGCTGCCTGAGGATGAGTCGCTTCCCGAAGATGAGCCTCCGCCTGAGGATGAGTCGCTTTCTGAGGATGATCCGCTGCCTTTTCCGCTACCGCTGCTGGAGTCCGAACCTGATCCCGAACTTGAACCGCTATCTCCACCAGAGCTTGAACCGGAGTCGCCAGTCGCATCCTCAGTGCTGTCGCTAGCGTCATCGGAAGACTTGCCCTTGCCACTGGAAGATCCCTCACTGCTGTCAGAAGAGCCCGAAGAGCCCTTCGATTTGTCTTTCTTGTCATCCTTGGAGTCGGAAGCACCGTCCTTAGAGTCAGACGAATCCTCTGCAGAGTCCTTGGAATCAGAGGCGTCCTTCGAGTCCTCATCCGTGGCTCTCCAAACCAAACCGAAGGGTGAACGCTTCGTAACAACAGGTTCGGACTCAACAGATCTACGCTCGTAGTCGTTGCCGGGGGTAAAAGTAGGAGCACCCGTCATCTGAGGGTCGGATGGCTGGCCGCCAAAACCTGGGAAGCCGCCGGTAGGAGCAGCGCCACCGCCAGGGAAGTAACCGGGGTCACCACCATTGCGTTGGCCACCTCGTCCTGGGCCACCGCCCATTCCCATCCCAGAGCCGATGGAATCAGAGCCAGGACCGCTGGACTCGGTGCCGTTGCGTTGACCGCCGCCGTGTTTGCCGCGATGGCCACCACGATGGCCATGAGCCTTTGTAGGAGCGGGGCCTCGAGCCGAAAGTTCCGTCGGTTTAGCTGGGGCAGGAGCAGGTGCCGCGGAGACCGAGACGATCAGGGCCGCAGCCGCGATGGTAGTCAAAGAGAAACGCATGTTTTGTTGATTTTCCGGGTGATTTGAAGTGAAAGTAGGGTAACGAAGGTATTGCACAGCAAAGATGACACAGTCAAGAAAAGAAGGGTGACCGGCACTGAGCTGGAGAAGAGAATGTGGAAAAGGGAAGGTGTTGGAAGCAAGGAAGAGATCGTTGGTCCTGATGAGGATGAGGATTTTGCAGTGGGCGAGTTGC